TCTTGGATGGTTTGGATTATTTCTTGATACTATCAACTTCTCTGAAAGGAAACAATAAAGTGATGTACTTTTTGATTGGGCAGCAGAATTCCGTGGTTAATTATCATTATTTGTTGTTATCATTAATGGTCATCGTCGTGCTCGGCGATGACCATTTGACATCATCAGCTTTAATCCACATCATTATCATCATTTAATATCCGAAAGCTTGTCTGTGTTGGTAGAATCCATAGTTGTAGAGTTTAAGCTTTGTTCCAACACAAGAAAGGAACTCACCATGAACTTTTAGTGTCTTCATCAGATGTATGATCCACTGCACTGATTCTCAGCAATAATTGATAATGTTTTTAATTCTTAGTATATGTTTTCAACTTTGTACATTCAAAGCAATTCAGGCAGTGTAAGTCTGCAAGTTGAATAAAGATTCATTCATTCATTCATTCATTCATTTGTTTGTTTGCAATGTAAATAAATAAATAAATAAATAAATAAAATAAATTCATTCATTCATTCAAGCCGGAAGCGCGATGACGTCAGGAATATATCAAAAGTGGCGGGAAGACGAAATCTGCCACCGTCACGGTTCAGAGAGGGTTGATTGACCCTGGGCGATGGAATACTGTCTACTGCCCCGTATCAAAGATCGACTGAAAATTCGTGGTGAGTTCCTTTTTGTGTTAGAGCAAAACTTAAAAGCTCTACAACTATCATTTAATATCATAATCATCATGAAAATTAACATTATAAACATTATTATCAATAACGTCATCAACATCATCATCGATCCACATCATCAATACCATCTTTATAAGCATCACCATCATAAACAGCATCAACAGCATTGCCAACATTACTGGGTGGCTGCAGTGCAAATTGTCGTCCGTTTGTATTTTGTAGTAACTAATAGCATGTAATGTTATAACAAAGCAGTGAAAGATAACTAAGAATATAAAAAGCGCTTTTCTTTCCCCCGGCTATAGTCAACAGTGAATTGCAAAAAAAAGTGGAGATCTATTTTGTTAACTGCCTGTCTGTGCCTTCGTTTTAGTAAACCATCTAAAAAGTTGGCCATGGGTGTACATTGTCGCTGTTATGCACGTGTTTTCTAAGAAAATGCATGCGGAAATTTATTCATTTTCCGTACTCTAGGGTGAAAATCTTGGACAGCCTCGGCGACTGCAAAGTTATACAATGTTAAACATGAGCTTGGTTGTCTAATCCAATCTTTTGTCTTGTACCTCAGCGGGGGCCCCCTGTAACTCAACAACCACTTATTGTACGACCACCAAACTTTCTGAGAATGGTGTAGTAAAATCAAATCATAAAAAAAAACTTTGTGTTATTATGACGCCATATGACGTCATTCATTTTTAGGTATAACTGTCAAAAATTGTTTTTTTCAAAACGTGTCTAAGATAGAGTTTTAATGTCTGCTACGACTTATGTTGCCCCTGGCAACAACACTGACGTCAAAATGACTTCATAAAATGACGTCATGCATAATTAAGCTGTAGGCCATCTTGGATCAGAAATTTTGAATTTTGAAAATTGCAAATTTACAAGATACAGCCTCAAAACGCTAAAGACTAAAGATCTTCATATGAACGTTTTAAGTGAAAAAATAAAAAAATACGAGTTGAGACGAAAAATGTGTAAAAAAAACATGGTTAACAGAAGACCTAATTAATATGGTCCGCCATCTTGGATTCTGATTGAAGACGTTATCAAATTAGCATAAATCATGAATATTTCATGATAGAAGTTATATATCATTAAAGAATATGTTATTGATGTTAAAAAGGAAGTGTAATTTAACATAGAACGTAGAAAATTTTAATGTTTGAACCAAATTTACTGATTTTTCCAAAAACTGTCAGAAACTCAAAAATTAGGAACTTATCTAATTATACGAAATTGTTCCTAGATATATTTTAGGAAGAGTCACCAAAGTTGACGGTTCTAGCGCAAGCCGTTCGGGCGCTATCCGAGATGAAAGCGGGCGCGTTTTGGTCTTTATCTACATTGTACATGTACGTATACGCTGTCACGTTGTGTCTGTTCTACACTGACGGATCCTCGCCTTGTAGTGAAGAACACAGGCGTAGCTTGAAAGAGGTTACAAAGCAAGCAGAAAGCGTGAAAAAAAGCGGCGTCATGAATATGTATTTGCAATTAGATGTCAGAATAGAAAGCAAATTACGTCTAGAGTGAATCAAAAGCACTCGGCTTACCTTAGCTTTGAAGTACTAAGCGAACCGGTCACATCTACCGACACTGTATGGTGTATTTGTATTTGTAGACGCCGGCGGTGTTATACAACATTTTCATGAAATATTCACCAAGCCGCACTCCCTGTGACGTATGGACAGATGGCTCCAGGTTTGATTGTCTGGGTATTCTTTTTATTCTGGTGCTGAATATTTTACCTACAGTTTTCCGCCATATGGTCTTGCGAAACGACAGAATCACAAAGATAAGGCAACCAGAAATGGCAGACTTCACCTCTTCAGTATTTCAATCCCTTGGTTAGAAACACAAACACACACACATACAAGCAAGCACACACACACATACACACACACACACACAAACACACACATAGACACACATACATATAAACAAACACACTCATAGGCACAGACATGCACATCAACACAATTATTTCACTTCCCCATGGGGAAAGTAACAAGTCGAAGCCACACTTGCGACCTAGCATCTGGTAGCTGCAACACAGGGGTCGACATACTCACCACAAAAAATTTCTGATTCTATTTTACTTTATTTCGTGTTTTCAATCACGTAGTCTGTGCCATGTAATTAACTTACAGTGGAAGAAATGTTGATATATGTAGCCCCCAGATTCATATTTCAATAGTGTGATATTATATTCGCAGACGCTGTGATGGTCTACTTTTTACACCTAAAGTAAATATAGCCGTCGGTAACCTACGCTTTTCCTTGACAAATCGACAGCAATATTTTCTCCATCTTTAATACTACAAAGCCGCGTGTTGTTTAGAATGAAATTGTGACGCCAACAACGATTTTTACTCAATGGTCACCAAATTAGAAGATCAGAATTCGAAGCTATTTTCTTCGTTGCAGGTTACTTTTAATTGCTCAATAAACTAAGAAATAAGCAACTGCTACTTGTTTGAAGACTGTACATGATGTGTATTATTAAGGAAATACTGTACAGCTTTTAAGTTTGCAACTATAGCCTTTGTTGACCGTCTGTTGAGTATAAACAACGTTCCTCAATGCAAGGGCAAAAGACCACTTCTGTGCACAGTTGGTGGGAGGTATAGGTGGCAACGATTTGAAGGTTTGAAGGCTCCGCACAAATTGGATTAGCAGCTCAGACTAATCATAACACGTTTTTGGTAAATAATATCCAGATCAATTCAAGATTCTATTGTGTGTTCTGTTAGCATTATGTTTTATGGTAAAAGTATTTTTAAATAAAATTGATATTCTACCTGCTACCTACACACAGGACTGACTCGTTCCAGGCTAATCAATCAATGAAAAATAAGTTTCTGTTAGTTATTTGGACACTGAACATGATGTGTATTAAAAGAGATGTTCAGCTTTTAAATTTGCAACTGTCATTTGTTGAGGTTCTGCTGAGTATAAACGACGCTGCGCAATGTAAGACCAAAAGCCCACTTCTGGTCACTGAACAAAGATGGTGGGAGGAGGTATAGGTGGCCATGGAGATTAACGGTGAACGTTGGTTTGAAAGCCGTCATACATTTGTATACTAGTATGACGCACACATCATGGGTTAGCAGCTCAGACTAATCATAATACGTTCGTGATAAACAATATGCACAATAATTCAAGCTGCTATTGTGCTGTCTGTTGGCTAGAAGTTGCGCTAGAAGTATCAAATTTGGAGACCTTTCCTAAAATGTCTCTGGAAAAAAGTTCATATTAGTTTAATACTAGTAAGTTGATGTTTTTTGTGTTGCCATGGCAACGGGTTTCTAGCAGGCAGTTTTTTTTTAAAATAGAAGTAATTTTGGTTTAAACATAAAAAATTTCTGAGTTTTATATTAAATTACACTTCTTTTCCAACATTGATAACATTTTACATAATTAAATATAAGTTAAATCATTTAATATGCATAGAATATGCTAATTTGGTGACGTCATTGGTCAAAATCCAATATGGCGGACTATATTATTAGCTCTGACGTCATATGACGTCATAATTACACTAAAGTTATTAAAATTTAATTCTATCACTACACCATTCTCTGAAAACTTGGTAGACATACGATGAGTGCATAAAAACATGTAAAAACGGAAATAAGGTAATGTATAAGAACGCCAGTGTATCCATTATGATCGAAAGCCGGCTGGGGTCCGCGCGGACCCCAAAAGAAAATCAGATATAATTTTTTTTTAATGGTAGAAACGGAGTTTTCTGCACTGTATTGAGAGAAAACTTTGTGGGTGACAATTACCTAAAATTTCAGAAAAAAATCTTTAGAAACAAAAAAGATATTACAGAATATATAGTCCTGGGGTCCGCGCGGACCCCAGGTGTTCTGTTTAGGGTTAAGTTTGCAACTATCCTTTGTTGAGCGTCTGTTGTGTATA